GTTCCCTCTGCTATCCTGTCACTGCCGTGAGAGAAAAGGCAGGACAGAGCGAACGCTGAGGCACTGCTCGAGGGTAGTGGGTTTATTCCTAACAGCTGAGACACGCACAGCTAGCACTAAGTTTTCCCCCTTTGAACAGATGTTACTGATTTCCAAGCAAAGCCAGGAAGTCCAGCCATTGAGAAAATCACAGCGGTCACACCAGATCTGAGCCCGTCTCTTTCGACTTTCAAAGCCCAGCATCATCATATCAGTACCATACAACTCAACACAATTCCTTTCATCTCTCTCCGACAAACCACGGCCGATATTATAGGTGGTCTCCTACCGTAAGAATACTTTCTGGGAGATGTTGATGGCGGTTACTGTTGCTTAAACAATCAAAAGAAAACAGATAGATCCCTAACGGAAAGCTGTTGTACCTCACCTGTGAATTAGAACCTCGCCTCTCTTACAGCAGAGAAAAAAAACAAACCCATAAACAAAGAAAAAAAACCCAACAACAAATCCTGAGGGAAGGCTGTATCATCATAGCCCCTTACGCAGAAGACCAGGAGAGATTAGAAAACTCTCCACTCTGTTTACTCGGTGGACTTGCTGTTGCACATACACCAACGCTGCATCTCTGCAGATGCCAACGTCAAGACCTTCTCAGGAAGGTATATTTAGAAAATATGTTTTCCTGCTAACTTTGGCAGTTCAGCCAGTGAAGGATAATTCCCTTTCCTCCAGCTGCACCTGTGTACAACTCACGGTAATGAATTAATAACCTTTCAGAGCAGAAGTGGATTTGAATTTGTAGCGTTTCAGAAGCCAAGAGATAGAAATACTGTGAACATCTCTATATGAGGTCTAGTTTGCTGAAACCTGTCACCGCCAATTCACTACCTCCTTTATGGCGACAGTCACCCATAACCAAGACACACACATTCATGCATCTTCACACACTGAGGTACCCTCCAAATCGCTGTTTTCCAGATTACCTCCCATTCAGAAATTAGCCACGCTATAAGGAGATAGTGATGAATCGTACTTTATTTTTAAACACTTTTAAAATGTATGTTCTAGGAAATATTCTCTATTTCAATGACTACGCCTGTACAGTAATCGACAAATACATTTGTATCGAATCCAAATGTTAAGCCTGTCAGCGGGGAAAAAAACTCGGTGGGCTATCAGAGGAATTCTGCACTATCTAACACGAACCTCTTCGTAAAACTTAGAGTGCCCTTAAGTAGGATTGATTAATTCTTTTGTTGATGGTAGATTTAGAAGAAAACTGAGGCTTCAAAGGTGTTGGCTTTCAAGCTACAAGGTTGTCCAATTCTACTAGAATTTTAGAGCTGATACAGAGATTACAATGAAATGCTGGGAACTGGGTATTAGCAAGTACTTTAAAAAATTCGAAGAAGTGCCAGAAGAAGACAAGAAAAAAACAAGAGTTTTCCTTGTGAAGTTGCACATGCAACGGAAGCTTCCAGCCTTAGGGAAAGCAAGATAAAATGAGCTCTGGCAGGCAGTAGAGAACAGGACACATAAAACACACACAGCCGACTCAGACACGTACAGCAGGTGACATTCACGGGCTGGTGACCGTCTTAAAACGTGATTTCCAGGACTGTGAACGGTGCACTGTGAAACGCCTGTTAAGAATCCTAAACAGAAAATAAAGTTAAAAAACTAACGTACCTGAGAGGATGCTTGCCCACAGCGCTCGGTAACTTGATCTGAAGTGACATACTCTTCAGGGTTCCAGCACAGGTAGTGAGTAGGGAACTTAAGGTGTTGTTTTAGCACGAACCCCACTCGGACACGAATGCCAAAGCAGAATTGAGGTTTCTTGCAAAACACTTCGGTTTAAATATAGCGCTTAAACATGTCACATGATCTTTCGACCAATGACAATTAAGTATTGATTGAGCATGCGTGAGAACCCAGAAAACTACACCTCCCATGGTTCCTTGTCACATTCTTCCTGCCTCAGGAACTAACAATGCTTTTGCTCCTCCCAAAGGTGTCACTGTCACATTTATAAGCAGTACATCTTTAAGCTATTAGTAAAATACATCATATCGACCTGCAAACTAAGAGAAGTACAATACCAAGGCTCCCAATACTTACTTTCACCAGTAAGAAAGAAACTCATATTGTGTAATAATGCAAATGGACAGAAAACCCCTAAAAATGCACACTTTTTTTTTACCCTCATAATATGCAAACAGGTTTGCCATCTGCAGTTCAAAGAAATATCAACATTCTAAAGGCAAAGGGCAAGCTGTTCCCCAGGAAAAATTGTGCCAGTGAACA